AAGAGTGTAAGGCTGTAGATTTGCATGTGAGTTTGTCGCCTCTGGTGCGCTACGGTATTGGGGAAACCCAGCCTGTTAAGGGCCGAAGTGCTGCTTAGAATGTAAGCCAGTTTTCTTCAAGTTCAATATTGATGCTTTTTTTTCATATCAATGTGTATTTGTCCAAGAAAAATGACAGACGAATGATAAATATGGCTGAAAGTGAGGAGAGTGAATACTTTACCTGCTGTCTGTCCTGCTGGCCTCTACACGGCCAGTTGCTTAGGTAGTGTCCCTTTCATTAAGGTGGACACAAAACCACCCAAGGCCGTCCACAGCTCTGGCTACCCTCTCAGGAATGCTCCCTTTCACTTCCCACAGGCTTTAGTCTTCCCTCTCTCCCCTGGCAGACGGGTGGAAAAAGTGATACTTGCATTACTGCTGTTTGCACACTGAGCTGAGAACAAAACCACTGAATTTTAGAATAAACCCCAAAGACTCTTCTAGCTAAGCAGCAGGTTTCTCTACATGGCTTGAAGTGGTTACCACCTTTCCATAACCGGCATACCTGTTGCAGAACCATAATTTTGAACACGCATGTGCATGTCCAACGTCCTTTCCGATATCTTTTAGCTCCATTTAAGCCAACTTTCAATTTGTCTTTTTTAAGACTGGCTGTATTCTATCAGTTGTCTATTCGTAAACACTTAGCAAGTCTTGGATCTTTCCTTGTCCAAAAATTCCCCCATGTGCTTATTAAAGAATTTTGTTTAGGTTTGCCTTCATTTCTTCTGTTGAGAAATGACTGCACAAGTATTTCAAAACCCTACCCTGCCTAAACTTGGTAAGATTTTTCTTTTGTCATGCTCTAAATACTGGATTCTAAAGACTTTTTAAAGGTAAGGAAGGGAAGACTCGGGATGGCTCTTGTTCCTGATGGAGACCACATAATGTTTTCCTGTAAGGAGCAGCAGTAGCCTGTCTGCATGACTGATGCTCCTGGAGTTTAACAGGAATTTGGGTTTCCGTGGGAGATAAAGCATGAGAATGAACAGAAACCAGTTTGTATTCATAGCAGCCTCTACCCTCCAGACTTTGCTTGGAGGCATTGCTGCTGTACTGAGGTGACAAACGACACTCCCTGGGTTCCAGATGGAGGAAGAGACTAAGTGTTAGCTGATGTTCTTTTACTGACGAATCCCACAGCTATGCTGGGCTGTGCTTGTAATCCTGAAAGCTTCCTTCTCTGCTGCCTTCAGCCTAGAGCTTGAGTTTTGTTTTGTTGTTCTTTTTTGTGGGGGGAGGAACGCAGTTCCCTTTGCAACTCCACTTCCCCAGACTCCACTAGGAAAATGGAGCAAATGGACCAACCCCGTAATGGACTTGCAGCTTTGAACTTGTCTGAGGTACCATTGTTTTATGACCTAAGTAACGAGAAGCTTCAGAGTACAACTTAAATGGCACCGTTAAAACATTTTAAACAAGTTTAATAACCTCAGCTAGCAGTACTGAAGTAGTGCCTTGGTGAGGATCTTCAAAGCTGGTTCATTGAGCGACAAAAAGAATAAATCATGCCTTAGGTATGGAAAAGCAAAGGACAGTGACTTCACTCCTGCAAAATGGGGGCTGGAGTCAATCAAGAGAAAAGGAGTTTGTAACATAAACAGTAATGGAATGCTTGTGGTCAAGTGACAAATGCAGGCTTGCCACTGGAGCCTAACACCTCTAAAAGGCTTTATTCTGAGGTGCTTACAGAGTGAACACTTGCAGGCTTTGCCCAGTTACTTAGAAAAGATGACAGGTTTGTAACCAGAATGGGGATAATTTGATTGGTTCATGAATTTTGTGGGAAGGTTGTAGTGCCAGACTAGACCTCTATGAAACACATTAAAGTTGCTGGAAAAAATACACAAATTCCCAAAGAGAAGGGGCAAGGAACACTTCAGGTGGGTGGCTTGGTTGGTTGATTTTAACTCTTCAGGTAAACAGCCCTTGACCTGCATTTGAAGGAACCTTGGCAGCTGTGTTCTATCAAATGCAAGCTTAAAACCCAATCTGTAAACACCTGTTAGTAGACATTCACTGTTACCATAAATTAGAAGCCAGTGGAAGGGTTTGCCAGGAACATTCCTACTTAATTATTTCTTTGGCTTCCATATTTAAGTAAGCCTTCAAGGCCAGAGTTACATTGTTACTAGTGTTAAGTAGGAAAAGTTGTAAATAGCCAAATCTACGGTGGCAATTGCAACATTCCATTGGTGCCTGAAAGAGCAGTCAGAGGACAGGGATGGCAGGATCTTCCCCACAGCAACACTGAAATGGGAGAGAACCAAGAGTGCAAGAAGGCCTCTAAGGCCACAGGGCTTCATCACAAACACTCTGAGCTTAATATATGAACATCAGTACTTAGTTGTTGAATTAGATGGAGTTATGCTCCATGAAAAACCACACAGCTTTGTCCTACTGAAAAAAAACACAAAGAAGACCCTGGAAGACCACTGCATTCAAAGTGCTAGGTCCTTATCAGTATTTTGTACTATTCTACACAACAATGTGTGTATTTCCTCCAGGAAATAAAATCCCACAAACTCCTACTGTAGAGAAGGCAATGATCGAAGAGACAAACCAAGCATAAGTAAGGTTTAACTAGTCCTTGACCCCTACAATGAAGATAGTAAAATCAAACTGATTTGCAGGAAGAAAAAAATTCCTTAGAAAAGAGCTTGGAACTAAGATATTTGAAGTGAAACAAGATCAGAAGCAGAGTGCCAGTCTGCTTTCACATAGAAAATTTAAACCTTGGCCAAGAAAAAGCAGATCTAGCTCAGTAAAAAGATACAAACAAGTATGATCACATGAAAGGATAATTCTGTAGTCCTTAGTCGACATTCAAGATGTTCAGATCAAGTAACAACATGGTACTCTTTTTTTTTAAAAAAAAAATAAAAAAAATTTAAGGTTTAAAAATAGATTTTGTGCCATAACAAAGCATTTTGGGAAGCAGTGTACAAATGAGGCAGAAGTGTCAAAACAAACGATTACTCAAACTAGTTTAACACTAATTCTAGCCGAAGAAAACAAGTAGTATAGTAAACTGGAAATGTATTTTGTTTCTGAAGATGATGAGAAATACTCTCTTCTAGTCCCTTATGTTGCTTAAACAAAATTTATCACACTGTCAGTATGAATGTGCCTGT